AAATGATTTTTTTTAAAAACTAGTAAGGCCAGAATGCCCCTTACAGGCAAGCGTGGCAAGGCTGCATCTTACATACTTTAAGCTTATTGTCAGGAGATACCAGTCCCTGGAAAAAGACATCATACTTGGTCAAGTGGAGGGGCAGCAAAAGTGAGGAAGGTTCTCAAGGCGATGGATTGAAACCGGGGCTGCAGCAGTGAGCTGAAGCACAGGAACAGTGGTGAAGTTGGCCTGTCCATGTGGTGTCTTGTTGTTGGGAATATGGTCCCTATGGGTCAGAACAGAGTCTCTGGGTCAGAACAGAACACCTAACAACAACTTGAGCTGGAGTCGACTTGATAGCACAGGACAATAACACTTTTGACAATCTGGAACGTGTAAATGACATTACAAATAACATGCGGATTTGCCCCAGTGACTTGAATACTTGATTCAAGAGCTCAAACCATTTTGTGTCTCAAACCATTTTGAACGCACGGAGATCAGTATTTGCAGTCCAAGCAAGGCCTTTCCAGGAGGTTAAGTTCAATGACAATATTCCCTCTGGGCTGAAAAGCCACTCGGACTCCAGGATGTCAGGAGTTTTCAATGACATGCCAAGGTCTTTGACTTTCTTTCCCCTCCACTGTCTTGCAGGCCAGATGACGTGCTTCTGCATCGCACGCATGACGAGATCGTCCTCCTGCATTGCTTCCTTTGGCCCCTGGTGACATTTGTGGTGGGCGTGCTCATTGTGCTCCTGACCATCTGTGCCAAGAGCCTGGCGGTCAAGGCAGAAGCCATGAAGAAGCGCAAGTTCTCTTAAAGGGGAGTAGGCTTGTGGAGAGCAGAGCACAGAAGCTGCACCCATCAGTGCACACCGTCCTGCGGGACACCTGTTGCCGGCGCAGGAGACGGAAGGGGCCACGAGAGGTCTCCAGGAACCTCTTCCCTCGATGGCAGCAGAAACAGGCACCGCTGGAAGACTTGGGCGCTCGTAGATTATATTCTGTGTGTGGTAGAGGTGGTTGGCGGGTCACGCTCTTAGCTGTATGGAGTAGCCGTTTCAGGAACTCCTCTAAGATGTTCATTTTCTTTGGAAGAGTACAGTATATAATTTGTACAGTGTAGTATACAAACCATTGTGATTTATGCTATTGATAAACATTAAAACAGAGTGGTCTGTGTTCTTTTTCAATTTCATTTTTTTAATGCTTAGAACCACTGGGTGAAACACACACACACTGCCCCTGGTTTCTTAAAACCACCTGGTGAAAAGCCCCCCCGACACACACACACACCTCCCACCCTGGTTTCATTTGCTTTTGCTTGATCACACTTTTTCTTGGATGTGAGGATTCCTGTCCACATCTTAACCTCGCTGTATGCTCCTCGGTTCCCAATATGAAAGTGTACCTTTGACTCCCCTGTTTGATAAAGGAATATACACACAACCCAGTCTCTGGTCACTTCTGCGACTCATCCTCAAGGGACGCTCAGTGATTGGAAAGCATATCCTCCCACACTGACCCTTGCTAACTCATTGCTTCTCCCTAGATTATTTCTTAAGGGAGAAAGATGACTCTGAACAAGGCCTGCCTGAGCTGTAAGAGGACTAGGCTTCTTTATTCCTCTGTTCTTGTTCTTGTTGATGGGTTCCATCGCCGTGCAGCAGAACGTTCCTGATGTGAAGGACACTCTTCAGCTTAGTCAAGCTGATGTGTGCTTTCCTTGTTTATGTCAGAACAACATATTCTAAATTGGTTCAAGCATTTCTTTCTTATTTTCTTTCACCTTGCCTTGATGTCCTCAGCTGAAAGAAGGAAGGTCGCTGAATTGGCTTGGACCTCCTTGGCGATGCAGCTCCGCTCCACAGGGCTGCAGCCAACGCTTTCTGTGCCTTTATCCTGAAGTTCCTTATGGAACCATACTTCCTTGCATCTCTGTATGAGGCTACATTCCAGAGAGCGACCACAGGTCTCAGTGAATGCCCACTATATCATTTTCTATTTGCCACATACAGCCAAGCCTTCATGTAAAGGAAAGGTACATTTCTAGTGGAGAAACTGGCAAGTCAATTTTGTTTTTTTGATTCAAGTATTCCCTAGACCTGCTTTTGAGTAAAGGAAAATTGGTATTTAGAGAGGAACTTCTTTCATGAGTCCCACAATGTTCTAAAAAGGGGTTCGCATCCACTGACACATGGCTTCCTCTGCATCCACAGAGCCGTGTGTTCATAATGTTAAAACGCGAGCCATCAAGAGACCCAAAGACTGTTTTGGAAGCCTGTAAAGTGAATCCAATTTTCCTTTGTGTCCTAACTCAAGTGCTACGGGTGTCCTTGTGAAAAGGCCTTGAACACACTGTTTATGACATTTGAGGTGGTTCGAGTGCCTTAACTTTCATCGCGATGTTCGGTTGCTACATCCCTGTTGTCTTAGCAACATACTGAATGACTAAAGTATGCAGTACCACAAAACTGAGAAAGCCTTCTCTTTGCATCACCTGTCACTGACAATGATAAAGCTTAGTTTAAATGTTTTGTCCTTTGGAAAAATACGATTATATGATTACAGGGCGTAGATAAAATTTAATAGATTCCTCAAGGTTTATGGAAAACAGAATGAAAAGATCATGGAATTTTTTCATGAGCTTTTTGAAGCCCCCCTTCAAACACGTGTTGGAAAATAAGGTAGTTGCTATATGTTCATCTGAGTTTTCCTTGTCTGTTTGACAGTCATTCATTTATAAAACATGCGTTCATGAAGGCCCAAGGAGAAATGCTCCACTGTAGTCTGTAGACTCGTTCTTGGAGAGAGCACACAGAATTCAGATGGTTTTAGGATCTCCTTTGCTAACAGTTGGATTGGAGGCTCCTTCCTCATACTTGGTCCAAGTAAAACCGCAAAGGAACACAAGAAGACCCTTTAAGGTCATAAAAGTAAATAAGCCTAAATTCTTAATATCTTCATTTTCTCCTGTACCAGTTAGAAATTGGGCTAAGTGTCTATGGTTCCATAGAACTCCACAAATAGGGAGAATCAAGTAGAGAGAAGTTTATGTCTTCCTTACATAGCAATCCAGTGAGAAGTCGAGAGCACAGGAAATTAAGGGGTCTGCGACCTGTCTCTTGTGCTCTTGAGGCTGAGGGGTTTGTTCATCTCCATGGCTGAAGCTGACTTAAAGAAGCACATCTGCTTTCTACTCCATGAAACGAGAGCAGGTTGGGAGCAAACCACTTCCTTTGAAGAATGTTTCACCTCAGTATGTGCTCATAGTCTACTCCGGAGTTCTTTCTGCATAGCTCTTGCTAGCTGCACAGAAGGCTGGGCCATAGTGTTTGTTAGGTGGACATGCCCTACCAAGACTGTGAGGGCGAGTCTCTAGAACTAAATGAACAGCAGAATGAACACTGGAGTGAGTAACAAGATGAGGAATCAAAGTCAGTAACCCATGATGCCCGAATGAACAGCTACTGAGTAGGATAACAAAGATCCCCAGTCTTGGCAGGAAATGAGGTGTTTGGCAAATCCTTTAATCTACTCGGGCGGAAATTCCCTCGTCCATTGCCTTTTGTGACCCCTCCTGTGACCTCCAGGAAATTCCTGCCCATTATCCTCCATGGCCACATCTAGCACTTCTTTGGGGAGCATCACAGCATTTTCAGTTCCCTCCCTGCCTGTATAGATTTGAAGACCTAGAAATTGCCCTAGAGAATGAACAAATATAGACCATTAAAGACCAAGGTCATAGTTTATTCGACTATAATTAGGAGTTTGACCCCATTTTCCAATGTTTCACCATTGACAGCTTACAAGCCTCGCCACTTCCCCCCCAAGCCCCACAGCTGAGCATGCTGATAAGAAAGCCTTGCACCTTTTCCTTTGGTCCCAAGGAAGTTCAAATCACACAAGCACAGGCCTGTAGACCCAAACCCTCACTCACGCCCCACCTGAAAACAATATAGCCAGGCTGGCCAAGCCCTTTTGGAATCTTTTCTGGAACCTCCTTTATTGTCCCTAGTAAAATCTCATTATCTAATAAATCTTTTTCATACCCTGTTTATGTGCGTGTGTGGCGGGTGTGATGTCAACCTCGACATCTGAACCAAATTGTGAGTAGCAGAGTCTACCTCCTCTCTAGGAGGTGACTCCAAGAGTAGAGAGAACATGACCACAAACATAGGATGTAGTTCTTGCCTTTTGGCCTTTAGTTCCTAAACCAGCAGAGTTGGTTATCCATCTCTATGAACTGATGCATTTGACTTATGGTGTTAGCGAAGACCACTGAATATAGCAGGGCCTACCAGAAGAGCAAATAAATCTTTCTTGAAAGCTGTGTAACCAGAATGCTCTGTGGAAGCGAGGATGGTGAGACTCGATCTTATGTACTTTAGACATGTTACCAGGAGAGACCAGTCCTGGGTGGAGCAAGTGCTTTATGTTTAACTGCTAACCTAAAGGTTGGTGGCTCAAACTCACCCAGCAGCCCCCATCGAGAAAAGACTGGCGCACTGCTTCCAGAAAGGTGATGGGCAAGGCCGCCCTATGGAGCCGTTCTACTCTGCCACCTGGGCCGCAGGGCCACCGTGAGTAGGAATTGACCGCAGTGGGATTCGTTTGTTTGGGTTTATGGCTGCCTTGTACCTCAGTCCCTCGACTTCGTGGCTGGACTGGAAGACCAAGATTCTAAATGGGAATTCAAACAAAACAAACCAAAAAACCGGTGGCTGGTGAGTTCCTTCTGCCTCATGGTCACTCCGTGCGTTACTGAATAAATACTGAATAGAACTACAAGAGAGGGCTTTCTTGGATGCAGATCGCCAAGTCTTTCTTTGGTGGTACCACTTGCTAAGTTCAGATCAGGAGTTTTTTTGGTTAGTAGCCCAGTGCTCAGAAAACAAAACAAAATCCCCCACTAGCGAGGTGATTCCAACTCATAGCGACCCTGTAGGACAGCATAGAACTGCTCCGTGGGGTTTCTAATACTGCAGCTCTTTATGGGAGCACCTGGCTTGACCTTCCTCCATCAGGAGAGCCGGAATTGAAATTTACAAACCTTTCCGTCAGCAGCCCTTCCCTTAACAGGGGCACCTGTCCACGGGAATGCAACCTTTCCCTGGAGCTACCGCCCACTCTCACCGGTAGTCCTTGTACTTAATGGAGACGCTGCAGAGACGATCATAGTCCTGTCTCCGGTTGAGTTACCTACTTACAAGCTAGCTTGTATCACATCAACTGACTTCTTTATTGTACGTTGCTGAAACACAGCAGGGGATAGACAGCATGTATCACCATGGCTTCACCATGGCTGTTTTCTTTCTTTTTTTAAAAAATAAATTATTTTATTGGGGCCTCTTACATATAGTATTGTTAGGTAGTCTAGCGTAAGGGCTGGGGCATCCATTATGCATGCCCAGAGGTCCGAGCTACGGAAACAAAGGAGTGGCACATGCTCAGAAGATCAGGTTTCCCGCCAGGTACGCGTAGGTGGGCGCCGCACCTGGATTGGCCCAACTAGGCCAGGTGAATTCAATTCAGCCAAGGGGTCGACCAGGGGTCATCCACCACGCCTCCCAGCAGAATCATTGAAAAGGCAGGAGCCTGGAGCCGACTGCGTGACTTTGCGAGCAGTTTCCAGGCAGGCTGCACGTTCAGGAGGAGCCCTATGGGTGCCTGTGTGAACCTGAAACTTCTTCCAACGCTCATAAAACCCACTTGGATCACACACCAGGCTTCAGCGTGAATTCTTTCTTGTGTGGAGACATGGACCGAGGTATGTCTCTCCCCAGAGAGATCTAACAATATAACAAACCAAACATCCGTTATCTCAAGCGAACATGTGTTATTGGCATCAACAATTTCTAAATATCTTTCTTCTTGAGTCCTTTGATATCAGTTGCTCTTTTTCCCCCATCCCTCCCCCACTCTGCCACTCTTATAAATCCTTACAGCATTATATATTGTTATTATTATTTTTACATATCTGACCCTGCCCATTCTATCCTTCACCTACTCTCCTGGTATTCTTCCCCTGAGGGGTTAGTTTGCCGTCCATTCCCCCTTCTCTCTCTTCCTCACCCTTCTCTTTCCCTGCCCTCCTCGATTGCTGCTCCATTACTGTTTCTGAGGGGAGTTGTTGTTGCTGAATCCAAATACTGAAATTTCTCGACTGTGCGAACTGTGTGTACACTGGTCTAGCAGGACTTGTGAGATTGGGCAGAGAGTGTAATAGTGGGGGAGAGAAGGATTAAAGAACTAGAGGACTGTTGTGTATTTGGGCAGTGCTAAACTGCCCCCTGGATGCATTTTCTCCTCTGTGCAGCCCTGGGGGATGTCCAATTATCCACAATGGGCGCTGGGTCTCTAGCTTGACCCCTCTCCATCACCTTGATGAGTTCATTTATTTTTGGAATTCTGATGTCTGTTCCCATCGACACCTCATGATCACACATGCAGGTGTGCGTCTTCCATGTGGACTTTGCTGCTTCCCTACTAGATGCCAGCCACTTTATTATTGCAGTGTTCTTGTGTTGAGGGAACACTTAAGTAGAGGCCCATCCACTGCCTCAATGTATTGCCATATAAATTTATGTATCTAGTCTAATACCCCTATTATGCATTAATATGTTTACATATGTACACCTCTATGTTAACACCTCTAAGAATAATTTTGCTTCCTAGTTCTCTCCTCTATTTTCTTTTACCCTCCTCCTGTTCCACTATCATGTTCAGCCCACATTTGTCTCACATTAATTCCTCTGCCTAGATTATAGCTGCTCCTCCATTACAGGATTTCTACTCCACCTCCCTCACTGTCGATTTTAGATCCCTAGTTGTTCCCCTGTCCCTG